ACTGTTTTTTTTTAATAAAAATTTTAAACTGTGTAAATGTAAGTCATGGAACAAAGTTTCCTCATGCTACTCAATTATTAGTGTCTTTCAGAGATGAAAGAAAGCTAAAAAAATTCAGTGACAGCTTTCATTAAATTAAGCACTCTGTTATGTGCCACACTCCTCCTCTTCTGTGCATACAAACTACTTAGAATTTTGGGTTAATAAGTGCAATAATTGTTTACCACTCTACTTAAGATCACATCCAGAAAAAGAGTCTAAAGCGCTGCCTTGGCTTACACCGGATAACTTTTAGATGCTTATGCACTACTGGGGAGTTTACAATCTGTTATTCACTGCATAATTTCCATATATAATTCTTGTTTAAATAAGCACTTAAGATCAGGAGCTGCAAGTGCTGGAATGCTAAGCTGGCAGAAAGTAAGGGCCAGCCTTCAGGGACAACCTTTTTGGAGCTTGGCTGGCTCAACCAGAGTGATGGAAAGCCTTCTGCTCGCTCACAGTTCATAAGCCATTTCTGAAAATCAGTATCTGTGCTGTTACTCCCAACAAAGAATCACAGTCTCTTTTTAAAACTACAGGATATTTATTTGCTTATTTTCTGTTTTTTTTACAACACTGGCTGAAACACTGAAGAGGTTCTCTACCTCCTGACTCCAACCGCACCACTCAGGACATTACCCCTGGAAGGTGATTGTCACCTTCCTGTTAAAACTATCTTGTTTCACACAAGAGGCTGCAAGGTTCACAGGGCCAGAAGGTGAAACCAAACACAAATCTGATGATTTGTTCTAAACCATAGGGTGCTTTTTGGGCCCAAAGTAGAAGTCTTAAAAGGAAGTCTGTCAGCTCATAACACAACCAGCAAATATTATTACTATTCGTATTACAGTAATCTTCTGAGTGCAGGATTTGTAAGTCTATTAGGCAGTTTTAAGTGACAAACTGCATTTTCTAAATGGCTGATAGAAGCTCATATTCGGACAATTCATATACTAGGGAGAAAAGTATTTTATACCCTTTTATAACATTCAAAATATAAAAACTGAACTTTCAGATTATATTCTGTGGAACAAATGGAGGTTTCTCAATGCTTGCTCAAATTGTATAAAGTCTACCCAAAGGCAGTTTTCATGTGGTTTTTTTCTTTCTTCTTCCTTAATGCTTCAAGGACAAAATTAACCACAGTGTAGAGTAATATCAGGAAACCAACCTCAAAAATTGCATCTTAGGTGTTAATGAATTTGTTTTTGTCTAGGGAAAGCAAGGAAATGCGTGCCAACCAGGCTAAAATATCCATGGAGAACAGCAAAGCCATAAGCCAAGACAAATCTATCAAAAATAAAGCTGAAAGAGAGAGGTAAGTATCGGAGCTCCTTTCTTGAGAAGGGAAGAATGCTGTCAAAGACTGAGAGGTTAACTCATCTAATGATTGTGCTGAATACAGTTTTAGATTACCATTTTAGGAAAAATGTTGCTTTTCCTGTATTTATCTTTTTTAAAAAAATGTAATGCCCTGATCAGGGAAATAAAAAAGTTATTTATGCTCATCAGCTGTGACTGACTGGTGTAGGTCTAATCACACTATCAAACTGAAACACATCTGTAAGAGTTTTAATGATTGTACTTAAAGCGCATTATACTTTTTGTTGTTGCTTTTTAAATGAAATGAAGGCTGTACCAAAAAGGGAGTCTTGAGGTTTGGTTTTAGCTGAAGTTAGAGTAACTGGAGAGGCAGCATCACTAAAAACACGGGATGTGGTGCCAGTGAAAAGCTTTCTCCCTCATCTACTGATAACATGGAGGAGAGGTGGGCAGAAGGAAGGAGTGCTAGAAATGGTGATAATCAGCAGAGAGGGTGATGGAAGATAGGAGTGAAGAAGCAGAGAATGTACTCTACAACAGTACACATGTTGCTTCTCCACTCCAGAACTGAACTGCAGCTCTCTCTCGTTATATGCTGGCTTTGGAGACCAGGCTCAGCAAACCAAAGGCACTGCTGCGCTTGCAAAAGTGGGTTATTCACAGCGTGTTTCGGGATGACACCCTTAATTGACTTGAGAGACTAGAGAGACAATTGCCAGTACCAGCTACTGAGACTCTGGGGAGAATCGATCTGCATTATAGCTATTTTAAGTTTCTTCTATTTATCCTAAAAGTTTCCAAATAAATAGATAAAAGCAGTGTACATGATGATGTCTCATAAGCCTTCAGGGTTTCCCCTTCACTTTGAGCTTGCCATCTGGCTCCTTCCTTGGCACCAGGCTATTTCGGTCAAAAGGCTTGAACTTGGTCCTGCTG